CGCAAGCCGGCTGCTCCCCCCGGAGGACGGAGTCCCCCGTAGTTCCCGTGCATATCAGACTCGACGGTTCCTCGAAGGACAAACTATTAAATTAATGTTTTAGAAGGCCGCATAGCAGCATCCTGGAATAGACAGAGAAATATCCTGATTCGTCGGTCTGATACACGGTACTCGACTCGCCAACTTCTCGACTCGCCGGACACAGCAGGAAAAAGTGCGGTTCTGCAGTCGTTGCCGCAGAATGCTTTCCTGAGGTAGTAAGTGAGTCGTATCAGCATGCCAGTGTTTGCCAGCGTCAGGTGCTTTGAAGCCACCCTTTCTTCGCAGCTGGGTGCTCAGAGCGGCTCCGATCATGTGTTGCTGGTTGGGTCGTGGTCTCTTATGAAAGATTTATCACGGTTTGGAGTTAGCTGTTTTGCCGCGCCGTTACTGCACAGATAATTCATATTTCTCATATGCCATGCGGCTAGGAAAATGTGGTGTCCATGTCTTCTATGTAAATGTTAAGTCGGATGGCAAAGACTCAGAGGTGGATTTGCGATAATGGAGTTTGCAGTAGTCTACAGGGGGCTTCAGAATCGTTATTCTTCCCTCTCAGGAAAGGTCTGTCTTCATATTTAATTTACGAGCTTTTTGATATTCAAACCATGGACAGTCAAAAAGTGGTTTGGATTGGGTGTCTCAGTCTTTGTGGAGGTTTCACATCAGGCAATAATAATATTATATTAATACTCAGAATTATAAAATATTAAAGAGGAGAAGCCCTCAAGCTTCCTCGCATCAGGTCTTCCATGCGCAATCCTTCGTTGCAAGCTCAGGTCTGTTCATGCTTTTTTTGTTTGGGTTTAAAGGATGGTTCTCTTCAGGGCACAGGGTAAGTACAGTAAGTTCTTGCACTTGTGCAGTGGTATAATGGTACTGGACTCGAGAATGCACATTCCCTGTTTGTTCTCCTGGTACTTATACTTTTCTTTAGCGGTTGCCTTTGGAACCATCTTGTCTTGAGATGCTACTTACAGGTTTCTTCGCTTGTTACTTACATCTTCTGAGATTGGGGACTTCATTTGGGACGTTGTGTTCATCTGGTTTCCCATGCAACACTAAGCAACAGCTGTTGGCACTCGCAGGACATACACAGGACAACACATACACACACCCACACACACACAGAGTCTGTGTTTCAGCTGTCGGGTTTACACAGGGTGTGGGGTTCCTTTGGGACAAGGGTGGTTAGCAGCTGACTGAATGCAGTTTAGAATCATAGTTATACATGTCAGTTTGAAGACTTAGACACAAGGCCTGGGTCGTCAGTACACATTGCAACGGTCGTTCGGAGTTCGATGCAGCTTGCCTCTTGTAAAGAATGCTGGGTTTTGTAACCAGACTGTTCAAGGTCGGTTCCTAGGACTGTCCAAGCTCCTTTTCTGTGCACTTTGCATTCGAAGTTACTATGATTTAAGCTAGGAAGTTCAAAAGCGGCACCGCAGGACCACCCCGAAGGACTAGGGACAAATCATGAGTCCATGGTTCCCATGTAGTACTAACGTCGGCCTCACAAAGGTGACTCCGCTGGACTTCGAGTGGGCACACGTAGATCACCGTGGGCAGCCTAGCACTTGCCAGTGTGGAGCAGCAGCACAAGTCAGGCAGACTTTCATCTGAAGCATCATGGTCTGTCGTGGTTGGTGATGCTTTAGGTTTTTTAAAGAAGCCTAGACACAGAATCATTGTTATCATGCCGCTGCCAGAAAGCCCAAGCCACCTGCCACTGTCATCATCATTCCTCTCCCTTTCCTCGTTCTTTCTCGTCGGACATGTCGTCCTCCGGTTCCGCTGACCGAGCAGGACTTCCCCATGGACTCCCGTTTTTTCTTCGCCGTTCCACCGACCCGCAGGACGAGGTCATATTCGATTTTCGTGCGATGGACTATTACCTCGCGTCGGTCTGTGGGATGGAAGACCCAAGTACCATCCTGCAGCGTAATCTCGATTATTGCGAGCAGCTGCCGTCGAACTGTTTGGACTGCCTTCCGCCGGACATTGACTCGCAGGAGGATTTGCAGTGCTTCCTCGCCGATCTGAGCCTTGCGCAGGCATATTATTTCCGCACTGGACAACCCGACAGGATGCCCGAATGGCGCACCGAATGGCTCTCGACTGTCTTTGTACCCGAACACTCGCCGTACGACACGCAGCAGAAATGGGCGGACAGGCTCGTTACACCCATGTTGGTTGTAGCGTGGTTTCTATGAAGGTGCATGCTTTTAAAGCCATATAATATTATAATACATTGATTATTTTCCACAGAGCACATCCCGTAGGCTTTGGTCTTGGCTTGCTGCAACCGATGGACTGCTGTACAAGCGGCCCCCTGCCTTCGCGACACGGACTCCTCGGACGGTGAGTGAGAGAGACTTCTAGATTTTAATAGTTTGTGTTTCTGATAATTGAATTGTTCCCTAGCAGGAAGGACGACGGCTGGCAGATACTCGTCGAACACATGCAGGGCGATAAAATGTTGGAGTGTGGCACTCAGCTATGACATCAGCGCACTCAGTCATTCAAGCATTCCAGTACTTGCACTTGTGTGTGTGAGTGGTTAAACACGCAGCACCCACTGCCGGTCCAGGCTCTGCTTCAAGCAGATACTCGGGGCGGCCCAGCGCAGGACAGACAACGCCCTCTCCGCCGGACTCCATTCCCCGCTGTTCGGTTCCCGACACCCGCAATCGTGGATGGTCGAGATGCTGAACCGCGACTGGGAGGCCTACCCGGTGGCCGTCCCCGTTCCCTGGCAGGGCCACATGTACTACGCGGTGTCGTCGCACAACGCGTCGGACTTGTACTTCTGCATCACGAAGGGCCCCGACGGACGTGCAACAGCAGAACCAGTAAGATTTTTGTTGGTAAACCTTGTAGTATAACTGAAATACTTACCAAGTCGACAAATTTTCGGACATCGCTGGTTCAGGTGACACGATCGACTTTCAGTGCATCGGACTGTTTCTCAAGAAACTCGAACTTGGACCGGGCTCGTGGAACTAGCCGCAGTTCGTTCAAGCACGACGTACCCGCCGGCCAGTCTCCATTTGGAGTTCTGGAGCAGTTCGCTCTCGCCGGCCAGTCTCGAAAGTGACACGTTTTCTGCACTCGGAGTTCAGATCAGTTCGCTCTCGCCGTTCAAAAAGAATTGTCCTGGCACACTTTACATTTGCCGGATGTTAGTTCCTATCGCACTGTTTGCTGACTTAAACTTTTGCGCTTCAGGTTGCTGACATGGACTGGCACCTCTTTGGCGGGGTCCTCGGAGTTCTGGTGCTGCACAGTTTGTGACGATTTGCATCGGCACAGTTGCTGTGTTCTTTCCTGTCACACTCGGAAGCGACAAGTGCTTGAACCACCCGCAGTCACCAGTCACTCGTACTAGGTTTGTCATGTGCTTCATGCATTGCAATTGAGGTCGGTCACTCCTCGTTCGGTTCGCAGGGCACGGCCACACGGCAGGACGAGGACTAAGTCAGGGGTCATGCTTTCGGATTGTGACAAGGCATTCCGCGGACTCTGAGGTAAGTTAGGATCCACCTGCAGCAGACATGGAGCAATTGCCGTAGACATAAAGAGTTAAAGGCCTTTGAGCAATTGGAGTCCGGTTTGTTGCCTGGGTTGCCATTTCAGCATTTCAAGCATCGAGTGCATAGAATCGAGGGTGAGCGGTAAATTTTAGTGTTGGGCGTTACACATTAGATTTGTTGTTTGTGGCTGTGAATCAGTAAGGTTAGTTCTGGCCTATTCATTGCGGGTGGTGTCTCCTTAACTAGATCTACTTACAGTGCATGGTATAAACCGATTTCACTTCTGGAAGTTCACCATACTTGTCCACAGAGGGGCTTCGGGTGTGGCTTGATTCAGGAAAATAATCATGAGGTGTACAACTCAGTACTACGACTACTACCACGACTAGTACAAGTACTACTAGCATTGGTACTGTACTACTACTACTACTACTACTACTACTACTACTACTACTAGTAGTACTAGTACGACCTACTACCTACTACTACTACTACTACTACTACTACTACTACTACTACTACTACTACTACTACTACTACTACTACTACTACTACTACTACTACTACTACTACTACTACTACTACTACTACTACTACTACTACTACTACTACTACTACTACTACTACTACTACTACTACTACTACTACTACTACTACTACTAGTACTAGTAGTACTACTACTAGTACTACTACTACTACTACTAGCTAGCCAGCTAGCTAGCTAGCTAGCTAGTACTACTATTACTTCTGCTAGCACTACTACGACTACTACTGCTACTTCTAGTACTACTACTACTACTAGCTAACCAGTACTACTGCTACTACTACTACTACTATTTCGACTAGTACTACTACTACTACTACTACGACTAGTACTAGTACTAGTACTACTACTACTACTACTACTACTACTACTACTACTACTACTACTACTACTACTAGTACACTACTACTACTACTAGTACTACTAGTACTACTACTACTACTAATACTTCTACTTCAACTAATAGGGACTGCAATTTCGGCCTACTGGTTTTTCCTTTCTTTAATGAGTAGTGGTACTGCTGCTAGTACTACTCTTCGCAATCTGGATTAGTATTGCTACGAGTAATTACTAGACCAGTAGTCAACCAGCTGGAGGAAGGCGCTCTTGCAATCGCTGTTGTCCTGTTCATATGGAGGACACGGACTCCATTGGCCGGCATCGCTGCCGCTGAGCCTTCTCGTTTCAGGCACTGTGCTCTCGTGCGGTCTACGCTTTGTGTCTTGCTTGCCATGTTCGTCCAGTCACAATGCACTGTGAGACCACCCAGCAGCAGGGCTTGATTGATTGTTTGGTTTTCCGAAGCCGTCCTGCCTGTGCGTTGAGACTTCGTGCAGTCTTATCATCCTTCCCCCGTCGTTCTTCCTCGACGGACCTTGCCCAGCATGCCTCGTGATGCCGGCCCCCGCAAGCCCACCCTCAAGCAGCTGGCGAAGCAGAAAGCGAAGGACATCAAGACCCGGGAGCGCAACGAGGCGACGTTCGCATCCGCCGTTCAGCACTCCAAAAGCACCATACTCGACGTGGACATGCGGTTCATTCAAGACACGCTGACCCAGAACCCGACTTGGATTTCTCCACTCGCTGGTCTGATCCGCTCGGGCTCGTTGAATGGTCTTCTGAAGGACGTTGCCAAGAAGGAGGAGACCGGTGGACTGAGATGGAAGGGCAAGTGCACCAAATGGGGCAGTTTGCCGCTTGAGATGGCGAGCTTAATGCTCAAGCATTGCGGTGTGGAGCTCGCGGAGGACGTACAGAAGGACGAACCCGTCGTACGGACCCTCTTCGAGATCCAGTTCTGGGCAGCCAAGTCGGCGTCCTTGCCATCTCGTGCGGACATTCGCTATCAGTCCACGTTGGTCAAGTTAGCGAGGGCCCGCATGGAGGACGTTGGTCGCAACTACATAGCTGCGGTGAACTCGGCGGAGGCTATCAGTGTTGACCGGGACAGGTACAACATCTGGTCACTTAGAACAACACGTTGTACTGCCACGTCTTTGCCACACAAGATGGACACCCTCGCCGTTCCCGCTCGGAGTTCGTACCCAACGAGTCGTACCTCAGCCACGAGCTTCCTACTCTCCCGGACAACAAGACGTGGCAATTGGACGACCCTTTTGCGGTGGACTGTGTCATTTCAGATGGACAGCATAACTCGTTGTTCAGTTTTGAATGCGCGAGTTTCTTTCCTACTTTGCCGGACATGAAGGCCAAGTGGACCTTCGACTTGTCGTCGGACGCAGACACCACGGCTGGCCTCGGCGACAATGTGCCGCAGGGCACCCCGTCGGTCCGGAGTGCATAATGCACTCTCTCCTGGTAGTTCAGTGTGTCTTGAGTTTGGGGTTGACTTTACTCGTTGTTCTGTCCAGTTTGTTCACTCGAAAAGCACAATGTCGTTCGCCTCGCCGTTCGACCCATTGTGTCTGAGTGAGTGGACAGGCACGAGTTTCACTGGGGCCGTGAAGCCGGCAACTTGCAAGCTGCATAAAAGAATACGTGCGATGAATGGCTGACTGCAATAATGACTTCCTTGCGGTGCCTTGCAGTATGTGCTACATACATGTTGCAGAAGAACACAGACCCATGACACGTGGTGTGAGCACTGCCTTGCGACATCAGCGATTCGTTGCCGCTGTCTTTGGGCTTCCAGAATAAAAGCTGCATGCCTGCAGAGCCTCCCTTTCTCTTGGTTTGGCAGATGTCACATATACTTCCTGGGACATAGCCTATAAAGTTTTGCTACATTCGTTCACCAGAAACAGACTGTAGAATTGATCCACTCGCTATCAGATGCTGGAGCCCGCTTCTGCCGATGGACCCTCTTCTTCAGGACCTCCAGCTTTTTTCAGCTCTGCGTCGGACAAGCGTCGGACAGTTGCATTTTGCATTCCCTGCGGGACACACGGAAGCCTCAAGGGCGAGAGCTACAAGTTCAAAGAGCCGCAGACCAAGGTAACGGATGGACATCGTTTTTGGCACATGCGTTGGTTTGTGGACTTCCTCGGAGGACACGAGTCTCGAAATTTCCTCGCAGGCAGTGTGTCGACGTTCAGGAACAAGCTCTTCACGATTGCATGGCCCTGCTGGACAGACACGGAGGACGCTCTGAAAAAAGAGATCGAGTCGCACTTTCTCCAGAGTTCGTTCTCCCTCCTCAAGCAGCAGGAGCACGCTGCAAACGCCGAGAAGAAGGGCACCAAACGAAAGGCATCCTCGCAGCAGATGCAGGACGACATGGAGGACGACAACGAGCAAGCGGACAATGAGGAGCACACGGGTGACCAGATGGAAGAGGTAGCAGCTGGACGAAGCACACGTTGTACAGAGTTTGCCACGTCGAGCTTTGCAACGATTGTTCTTTTGCATCAATGGCACCAGGGTATGCGCAAAGATGCCAAATGGAAGAAGCCGGCAGAGGAGGTATCCAAGCTGGCCGGGGAGTTGCTTCAAGGCCTCGCTTCCTTGTTCCTGCAGACCCCGCAGGACTTCTCATTCACGTGGGACGGAAACACTCTGGTGCTGCCGTTCAAAGGAGGTTCGCTGGACGTGGACGAGGTTGTACTGCAAAACAGTTTACTTGCTAAAGTACTACACCGCGATCGTTCCCGATTCATGGACGTGCTGCAGGATGTGAATGTGGACTGCACCCGTCGGACAATTGGAGACACTCGCAAGTCATCTAGTTTGAGGACGAAGTACTACTTGTTGGCGGCTTTGGCACGTGCCATGGATTCGTCGGACGACACGCATTCCTGCTGGACATCTTTGAATGTGAAGCAAGTGATGCAGCTTAGGAGAGAGGTTTCGATTCGAGGGTTTGGAGGGTTTGAAGGGTTTGGAGGGTTCCGGGGTTTTAAGATGTAGGGTTGTGTCTTGAAAGCCCGAAAATTGATATTCCCCCTGTTGTTTCAGGAGCACCTCCGGATATCGTCGGTCGTCCACGAGTTTTCGACAAGAGGTTGCGAGTTCATCGAATGCCACACGCAGGACACTTACCTCCACATTGCAAGGACATGCGTTCACCGTGCAGGACAGCAGCGAACAGCAGGACGAACAAAAGATCAAGAAGCACGCTTCTATGGACGCACACAGGCTAGCACGCATGGAGCGATACGCCTATGTCACGCAGGGCAAGTCAGATTTCCTCTCGACGGACATTTTGTGCGTGGTGGCAGATGCAGTGCACGTGGGAAGTGACGATTGGCTGAACATCATGGTGTACAACCACACGACGGACAAAGTTTGGGTCTGCCCGCCGCAGGCGCTTTTTTTTTTTTAAGCAACACATATTTCTGAGGCGTTTTAGGCAAGAGGCGAGGTACGTCAGAGCCTTGCTTAAGTTGACCTTTTTGGGTGCCGTTTTCGTAGCTTCTGGGTCCGACCAAAATCGTTTTTCCGAGGGGAGGTACACGTATCCCCGCTCAGGCTCGGTTTGGGGCGGAGTCTTTCTATTGTATTTTATATAAAGATAGGTACACGTATCCCCGCTGACCCCTGGGTTTCGGGATTGGCCTGATAAAGGCTCCCGGCCGCCCTTCTACTGATGAGTAGGTACGCACAGCCTTGCTTAAGTTGACCGGGTCCCGGGTGGAGGCCGAGGAACGCATTTCGGCCACATTTTGGCTGCATTTCGGCCCCCAAAAAGGTACGCCAGATCCCCGCTTAAGTTGACCGGCCGGTCCCCCAAAAAAGGGCCCCTGGGTGATTATATGGTAACAACCTCTGTCGTTTGTTTTGCATGCTGTTGCTGACAAGCTCTTCCTCTAAGCTTTGCTTCACATTTTTCTCTGTGTAGTCAGACCACGCAGCAGGTCCAGAAATCGTCCGTCTTGTCGGCTGAGCAGTGGAAAGCTATGTGGAACAAGGCTTCCAAGAAGTTCCTCGGGATCGAGAAACCCGTTGGACCTGGTCATGCGGAGGACCGGCTGGCCACACTGTCTTGGATGCAGGACATAAACCACGGCTTGCGACCCATTGGCTGGACTTTTGGCTGCTGCCAGAGCACGCCGGCCGGCCCCGCGGAGGACGACACGAAGGCTAAACGTGCACCGATCATGATTTTGTGCACCGACCAAGAAGCAACACAGCTGGCGGCTGTCTCCTTCTTGAGGAACAAAAAGAGCCTCTGGATCGAACACGTCTCGGACCCCGCCCACAGGTCGCACAACGACGTGGCTTTGGCCTTGTCGGCCGCTGGACTCCTGAAGTTCTGCACATGGTGCATCTCGCTGTACAACATCAGGTATGGACCCTGGCAGAAGGGCTCGTGGGCGTTGAAGATCCAGCAAGCCGCAAATCGCATGAAGGACAACATGGACCCCTCGGACCCGATATTGCTCCTTTTCTTCCCGGACATTCTGCTGGACGCCGGCCTCTCCCCCCTGGACGACAACACGGAGGAGAAACGCAGGTCGTTTTTGCAGACATTACCCGACATGGACTGCATCCGCATCAAGGGCACGAAGGCCAGCAAGAGTCGGTTCAATTCCCTGACGACGGCCCACAGCGCGCTGGACAAAGAGTGGTCGGTCTTGGCTTTAGTTCTCACGGTGGTCTGCTTGGAGCACAACTGGGCAGTTTCCACTAAGGACCTCTTCTCGCAGGACAGCAACCAGGCCCGTGCCTCGGTTCCATATGGTGGAAGCAAGTCTTCTGCCATACAGGAGGCCAAGCAAAGCATGGACCAGGAGCGGAAGGGCAGCGCGAACAGTCTACACTTAATGACGAAGTTCGTGATCTCGCAGGACAACAAGACGACAGCCAGGATGATGTTCCAGGTCTTGCAACCCGAAGAGCTTCGTTGTTCGCTCATGCTCAAGCAGCTGCGTTCCAAAGGCATGACGAAGGACTACTACTCTGGCTGGGCACACTGGTCTTGGATGAGCACTGCAAAGGACCACGTCAGGACTTTGTCGAATTTGGAAGGTTTATCTCGTGTCGGCCTCGACCTGACACTGGCACGCGCACAACCCCCGGAGGAGACAGAGCTTGTCTGGCAGGACTCGCTCGCAGGCCAAATGACGCAGTTGACACTACAGATCCTGCGGCTGCGGGCCGGGGCACAGCTGTACCATACTGGAGGTTTCGGTGCGACCGCAGGACTAGTCCATGCTGAAGAGCAGTTCCGTCGGGCAAGCTTGGATTTTTTCAAAGAGATGCAGTCTTGTATCCAGGACACGCACAGTGGTGGTTCTCGTATGGCAAAAAAATTGCTCGAAGGTCATTTCTCCCAAGGGCCGATTAGTCGGTACATCCTCGCCGATCTTTGCACTACCCGGTTTCAGAGCCTTACGGAGGACGTTGCACACGTATTGACCAGCATTTGGTCGGGCCTCTTGAACACGAAGATCATCGAAGACTGTAATAAAGTCCAGCGCGAGGCCGAGCAACGACATTCGTCTTCGAAGGACTTGGGTCGTTTGGACGGATGGAAGGCTGTGACCCAACAGGCCGTGGTCAAGATGTACGAGAGGGTGGAGGCACTGTCAACGGAGCTCTACCACACGCCGGCAGCGTTTGACGTGGCCAAACTTTTCTGCAAAGACACCGAGAAGAAGAAGATTCAAGCAGTTCGTCGTCGTTCCGATTCGTCGGTCAGCACGCAGGTCAGTGCCTCGGAGGTGCAGGAAGCACAGCTTCTTGCAGACGTGACGAAGACGAGGGACTGGGTCTCCCACAACCACGCCGAGGAACAGGAGGTTTTGGCTGCCTTCAGTTTACTGATGAAGGCGTGGAGGGCCAAGCGATGGTCGCTTTGTGAAGAAGGTTGGTGCTCTGGACTTTTGCCCGAAGGACATGTTGTACTGGCAGGTGCAGACCCGTTGTTCATCGTTCGGACATACCGTTTGGCTGCACTCGCATGGCCCGGCAAGATCGTTAAGGACAAGGACCATGAGTTTTTCGAATTCAACATGGGCGTTCGGTCTCTCTTTTGGATGCACAGCACATCTTTGGACTTGGAAGTGTTGCGGCTGCGAGTTGTTTCACCTCTGCGTGCCTCGGCTGCAGTACAGTTGAACATTGTCAGCCCGACACGGACATTCTCTACATATATATTCGTCCTATAATGAGTGACGATGATTGATTGACACGGAAGGCTTCTCCGGTTCAGATTGTAAGTTTCGGCCCGGGGGGGGGGTAGCACTGAAGCTATTTTTTATGGGTTTCTGAACAACTCAGGCGATTCGACAGTCAAGGATTCGAAGTTTCACAGAGTTAGGTTGAGTAGCCCAGGATGGCACGTGCGTCGAGGTTTTGGGTATTGACGAAAGGAGGGTGTGGTTGTGTGTACTGCTACCACTTTTTTGGCCATACTACTAGTGCTAGTACTAGTGCTAGCAGTAGTAGTAGTAGTAGTAGTAGTAGTAGTAGTAGTAGTACTAGTAGTACTAGTACTAGTAGTAGTAATACTACTACTACTAGGACTGTTGCTGAGATTCCTTCTACTACTGTAAACTACTGCGATTGCTTGTAGTAGTAGTACTACTACTACAAGTACTACTAGTAGTAGTAGTAGTAGTACTACTACTACTACTACTACTAGTACCAGTACTACTACTCCTACTACTAGTATTACTACAACTTCTTCTACTACTACTACAACTACTACTGCTACTACTGCAACTACTAGTAGTAGTAGTACTACTACTAGTAGTAGTACTACTACTACTACTACTACTAGTACTACTAGTACTATCACTACTACTACTACTACTACTACTACTACTACTGCTACTACTACTACTACTACCACTACTACTACTACTACTACTACTACTACTACTACTACTACTACTACTACCCTTTTCGAGTCTTTTTACCAGTCTTCCTAGTGATATCACCGCTTTTTACTGACCAGGCGCAAAACTTAACGATTGCGATCATTTTTTACTAAGAGTGTTGCTGCCGCTACTGCTACTGCTGAGGTCGTTCCACGCAGGGCAGCCACCTCAACAACGGCATCGTGTTTTTGGTGGACAAGAAGATGGGCACGTTGGACTTTCACGCCGAGCAGGGCTTCGCTGCCTGTTCTGAGGCTTTGTTGCGCAGGTTGTGCCAGCACATGGGTTGGACCGCCACCCAACCCAAATCAGGTGTGGACGCAGGACATCAGCTGGCTGTTGCCGCCATGCTCAACATGGACAACTCGTTGGTCGAAGAGGACGTGGTTCAACGAATCCTGGCAAGGCATCAGACTGACAAGTGGATGCCGGAGGTCGACGACAAGGACTTGGAAGCCGTCGTTCGGGACACGCTGCTCATTGGCGAGCAGGACAAGGCCCTCAAGGAGCTCAGTGCCCGTCGGTCCACGGTTTCGGCCAAAAGTCTACGACCCAAGGTATGCACGATGTACAAGAACGCCGTCTCGGACCTGGACAAGGACTTTTGGAAGGCCGGACAGGACACACGCCGACGCAAGACTCAGAAGGCCGAGAAGGACAGCAAAAAGCTAAAGCAGCAGTACGACCGGGTGTACGCAAAGCTGAATGCCACGACGGACGAGCTTGTGAAGAGCATGGTTCCTGATACTGTACAGGTTTGGACGGACCCAAAGAATGGTCGTTGGAAGGTGTCGTACAAGACAGCTGTAGTCAGCATTACACGTAGTATTTCATGGACACAAGTAGGTGAAGCTGCCGCCGGTCGAGCCTGTGTAACACAAGGTTGGTCATGGGTGGAGCACCACGAAGGACGTGACCCACCCGAAAACTTGCAGGAGCGATTGACAAGGTTCGACTCCTGAGTTCACTCGGACTTGACATGCCCGTGATTGGACTTTTTCTCCTCGTAGCACATCGTCGTTCAGCATCGATGCACACATTCGTCGGGCCCAAAAGAGGATTATTCCGCTTTGCACGCGTGTTTGATCCGTGCAATTGATGCTTCTAGTCAGACTTCTGTAATGCACTGCTACGTGTGTGAGACAGTGGCGGTGATGTGGGTTCAAGGTCAGGAGCATGTCGTCCATGCATTGAGCACGTATTTTAAGTAGGCCAGACATGTACTGATATGGCGAGCCAACGCGCCCTCACTCACCTTCTGTGTAACTTTCCCCACGGACACACAAGATAATGAGTAGTCATGTAGCGCAACTGGAAATTGTACCAGAAATGTTTGTACTTGAAACCTAGGTTGTTATTCTCGGTGGGAGTCCATGAGAATTCAGTTTTGTTGAAATAAATGGAACGGAAAGAGTCTCTGTACATGTCTCGACTCGTGGTTCCATCCTCGAAGTATTACTCGTGCCATGGTGGCCCGGCCGAAGTTACAGGAGGTGGGACTGTCACGACGACCCTCGGCATACGCGCTGTTCATGCAGGACATGTGCAAGGACTCTGTGGACCCCAAATCTCGTCGTCGACTGTCCCGGAAAACATCACTTCGCGGTTCAATACATTATCTGCGCAAGTGGCTTCTTGGCTGCAAAATCAATATAGATACTGACACATGTGCCCCTTGCCTAGAACCCCAAGTCATCTGAAGCCACGGGAAGTAAAATCTTGGCAATTCTGGTCAGGAACCCGAATATGCCATCTTAGCTACGTACCAAAGTTATTTACTTCAGACATAATTAATAAGATGTAGCTAAAAGTCCTAATACAAGTCATGTTACTTTTTACTCGGGGATTACCTTTTCACCCAATCGTCCAGTAAAATTCCTCTGTTCCCCGAGGCACAACCGAAAGGACCTCCGTGACGAGTACACACGCAAGGCCAGGCAGGGCTACCAGGAGAATCGGGTCCAACGCGAAGAATTTCGACAGGCCAAACACACGGAAGTTCCCCCCGCTTCGTTCATGGACAGAGAACTGCCGGACGTCGCAGAGTCGCAGGACTTCGACGGTCGTGGCATTTTTCGCTACACGGCCGAGGACCCACTGGTGCAGGAGAAACATATGGGTCGCGGCACGTACAGGGAGATTTTCGCTTGCACGTACCAGGGCCTGAAGTTAGCCTTGAAAGTGGCCGTTCGCACGCCGGACAGGGAGACTGCACTGTTGGACGTGCACCAAGACGGTCTCGAAAAGACGTGGGACTTGACCCGTGAGTTCACTCTTTTGAGCCAGATAGGACCTCATCCGAATGTTCTGCGACTCTATGCCTTGCTGACATCCTCGACTGGGCACACGGGAATTCTAATGGAGCGGGCTTCCTGCGACCTCTTGAAGGCCACACGGGACTTGAAGACGGACGACCTTCAGGACGGAGTTCCCTGGAGCACACGACGAGCCCAAGTAACGACGTACTTTCGGCAGACACTCGCAGCTCTTACATTTGTGCACAGCAAAAACATCGTACATTTGGACGTGAAAACGAACAACTTCCTCGTGTTTCTCCTCGGCGAGCGGGTGGTGCTGTCCGACTTTGGTTTTTGCCGAGCTTTGCCACTCAATGGAAAAGCAAAAGTCAGAGCTGACGAAGTCTACACGACGTACTACCGGCCGATCGAGTGCCTTTACTCCGGGGACGGCAAGGCCTGGACCATGAATCCTAGTCGAAGAAAGTTGAAAGTAGTAAGCCCGGTGCGTATGTTCATTCTAGTAACACTTTATGATTTTGCGGATCTGAACTGCAGGACCAGATCAACCTCAGGCATTCCCGGATCCAACTGATGTCATTACTACTAGCAAACTCGCAATGGCCATTGTAATTGAAAACTTGACACAAAGATCTGATTCTTGATTCATAGAAGAGTCATGTCAGCACATGCAGTCGTAGACTCAGCTTCTTAGTCAAAGACATAGCCTGAAAAACTTCATATCTTGCTAGTAACAGCCATGTCTTTAAGAATTGACTTGTTTTTTGGCAGGAAGTATGACTATGTGTTTCATTTTGTTGTCGTTTCCCTTAACTGCTCAGCAGCTTCACTTTGATGAAAGAGGTGGAGATCGGCCCGAAGGCGGACATGTGGGCACTCGGTGTGGTGACGTGGGATTGCTACGCGAAGACGACACGCTCGCTGTTCACTCCCGACCCGAAGGGCTTCGTCAAGCACACGCCGACCATCTCACAAGCGCTCGTTCGTTTCCAGACTGCATGGCGCGAGAGAGCACGCGACCTGCACTTGCTGGACGACGACATCGCTGCACACGTTTTCGGTTCATGCTTCACATTGGAGCAGGACAGGCGCAGCTCACTCGATTTGTTGAAGGATTTGCAGGGCCGTTTCACGAGGACAATTCAGTCGCTGGACGAAGAAGAGGAGCCGTAGCAAGTCCCCGGTGTACGTAATGCTATAACTTTCCAACGTGTCTTTCGCAAAGTATGATTTTATGTCAGACAAGAGATGACGAATGTTGTCGCCGGTGGACTCGCCCGTGCAAGTTTTGCATGACACACGTTGTTCGATGACCCGATGTTTCGAATCATTGAATCAGTTCATTGAATCTCGTAAGAGAATTAACTTAAGAAGATTGCAGAAAACCAGAATAATGTATTAGACTTTGTGGTTGGGTTCTTTTTGTTCAGTTCCCCGCTGTCACACGATTGACGACCGACTTGTGCATGTCAAGGACGGCCCTTCGGCAAGGATAAAAAGGGCCGCTCATTCTGCCATTTGGAATCTGTAGGTTCTACAGAACATGTACATGCAGAGGCGTGTCTGAAGTCCTAAGGATAATACACCGCTGTTCCCCCACACTCCTTGGCTAGATGCTTTCCATTTCCATGTTGCAGGCCCTGGGGCAGAGGCCACACCCTTCTCACTCTGGCAGCGACACACGGAGCACTTCAAGGACGGTTTCGGCCGCACAGTTCAGTGCAGTCTTGGATGGAATGTTCAGATGTCCTATGTTTTGAAATGCTGCTTACACTATGATGTTAGTTCGTTCTTGTTGAATGTGGTTTTAGTTTTCGGTTGGACTAGTCGCAGAGAGGCTCCCAATGGATTTCTTTTACTGTCGATTTGGAAAGCTTTGTTTTTCAATGTTTCTTGCTGCTGCTGGAAGAATGGGGTCAACCTTTCCGACCTGGTTTCATGATGGTCTCCAGAGAGCCAAGTCAGTCTTCTGGCTCCAGAACATCATCTGAACAGTGCAATGCAGGGGCAGCTATACTGATAAAAGCA